GAAAGAAAGAAAGAAAGAAAGAAAGAAAGAAAGAAAGAAAGAAAGAAAGAAAGAAAGAAAGAAAAGAAAAGAAAAGAAAGAAGAAAGAAAGAGAGAATCAACCAACCACATTCCCCAGACTCCCCTGCTCTCTAGCCTGTGGGTTCTTTGAAGATTGTGCCTTCATTCCACATATTTTTCTTACGTCTATTATAAACTACACCTTGCTCTAGGCACTGAGGACACATCACAGTCAAGGTCCCTACACTTGGTCAAGCTTCTTTCTCGACGTGGAGTCAGACAGTAAAAAGTGGCCCTTCATTGCTGAAGCCAACACTAAGTGCATTTAGGTGTGCACCTACACACATACAGGAGGTGCCCCTTAACCATGGTTTTCCTTTCTGAGGTTTCAGCTACTCATGGTTAACTGCAGTCTGAACATATTAAATGCAAAATTCCAGAAATAAACAATTCCTAAATTCTTAAACGGCATGCCTTTCTGAGTGATGCCATGAAATTTCATTCAGTCCCACTCTGTGCTGCCTGGGACCTGAATCCTACCTTTGTCCAGCAGATCCACACTGTCTACACCACCTGCCCGTTAGTGTCTCAGTAGCTGACTCAGTGATCAGATTACCTGTCACTGTATGGCCGTGCTTGTGTTCAAGTCGCCCTTGTTTTATTTCATAAAGGCCCAAAAGCACAAGAGTAGTGATGCTGGCAATTTGGATATGCCAGAGAGAAGCCGGAAAGTACTTCCTTTAAATGAAAAAGTAAAGGTTCTCAACTTAATAAGGAAAGAAAAAAAATGTATGCGGAGGTCAGACATTGGTATGGTAAGAATAAATCTTTTGTCTGTGAAATTGTGAAGAAGGAAAAAGAAATTTGTGCTAGTTTTGCTGTTGTACCTTGAACTGCAAAACTGTGGGCACAGTGCACGATAAATGCTTAGTCGAGATGGAAAAGGCGTTGAGTTTGTGGGTGGAGGACACGAACAGAAACGTGTTCTGGGACTGATGACAATCAGGTGTGGTAATACACTCAGTTTTAGTAACCCACTGGGGAGTCTTGGAGCATAACCCTCGTGGGTAAGGGTAGACTACTGTATATGCATATACTGTATATAGTCACTTAATATATATTTGATGAGAGCATGTTAACTGGAACAGTAGAAAATGAAGGATAAATTATTCCATTTTGTGCAGCCAGTGTTTTCTGGGATATTTATCAAAATGTAAAAGCGTGATTTCTCTTTGACTCTTGTAAAACTTTGTTCCATGGTATTTTAATTCTTATCCTCAGTTGACCTGAAGGGTCAACCCAACTTTCCAAGTAATATTTCTGGATATCATAAAACCAAGCTTATAAGGTGTATTCCTAACTTTTATTAAATTCAACCTTACAACTAAAGAAAACACTTGAATTCTGTTTACCTTCCAGGGCAGCATCAGTTCCTCTCAGTCTCCATTTGTGCAGATGCCAGGTGAGTACTTTAATTCAATAAGCGATTATTCCCTTTGGAATTGAAATCAAGCTGCTGGGCTTTCATGCTTTTATAATGACCTTACACCACTTCCAAAACTCTGCTCCTTTAAAAAGGTTATGTCTAAAATACAAAATCAGCGAAGAATAGAACTCATTCAGTCATTTCTGAATTTAAAATTCATTTTGTCTTGAAAGCAGCCATTTGATTCCAAGCATTTTGGCCAAAGGCAATAGAAATTATGCCCTTGCTACAGTTTTAAAATGTCTTAAATTCTGAGACCATGATCTGATAGATGAGGCATCTGCTTTCAAACAGAAAGAGGAAAGCAGCCTGAGAGCAGGGCAGGGGGGATGCGGGGGTGCTGGGTGCTCTCCATAGTCAGGCACTTGGTTCAGCATTCTGAATTCATTTCAATGCCTATGTCTCATTAAATACTCCTGTGGGAATGAAAAAGGGGAATTCCTAATAATAGTGTTGGACATTCTCATATAAACACACACACAGGCAAAGACAACCTCATCTAGTCTGACCTAGAAGTGGTACAGTTCCTAACAGTTTTATCACCTTCAGAGCTGGGTAAAGGAAAGGAATAAGAGCAATGGAGGATCCCAAATATTTAAATGTCTGTATGTTGTTTCCCAATCATATATACTGTCATTGAAATTTGGTTGCATCTCCTGTCTTCTACAGAAAAAAAATTTCTGTAGCTTCTCTTTAACTAAAAATTATTCTTTCTCTTTGTATGGAGAAATTACATGCTAAGGGCCAGGAGTGGTGGCTAGCACTTTTGAAGGCCGAGAAGTGTGAATCATCTGAGGTCAGGAGTTCGAGACCAGCCTGGCCAACATGGTGAAACCCATCTCTATTAAAAATACAAATATTAGCCGGGCATGGTGGCGGATGCCTGTAGTCCCAGCTACTCGGGAGGCTGAGACAGGAGAATCACTTGAACCTGGGAGGCGGAGGTTGCAGTGAGCCAAGATCGTGTCATTGCACTCCAGCCTGGGCAACACAGCAAGACTCGGTCAAAAGACAGAAAGGAATGAGGGAAGGAAGGAAGGAAGGAAGGAAGGAAGGAAGGAAGGAAGGAGGGAGGGAGGGAGGGAGGGAGGGAGGGAGGGAGGGAGGGAAGAAAGAAAGGCAGGCAGGCAGAAAGGAAGGAAGGAAGAAAGACAAGAAGGAAGGAAAGATTGAGCATGCTAAGAGAGCAGAGGATTTTTTCCTTCGTGGTTTTGATTTGGAAATTGGGAGTATAGACATGAGAGCCTGGAAACCTTATTTCCATATTCTCAACCATAACCACTCTCATAAATATAAATTCATTGTATGAAACAGAACCTTATTTCTTTATATTAAGGTTCAGTTGCCCAGGTTTTTCTCCCAAGGAAGTATGCTTATAATGAAAACCCTAACTGCAGCTTTCAACTGCATGGGCAGGTTAGAAGTTCTAGAATGTAAAAGTGAAGTGAGTAGGATCATGCTATAGGTTTTGATGAGGAATTTTGATTTCTTCTTCTGGGTAAGTAAATTCACAAGCCATTCTTGAACACAATGTTATACTACTGGGTTTAAAGAAAATGTATAAGGCCTGAGTTCTGCCACCATGGGGCTCGCAGTTTGACTGGAAAGACCACTGTGACTCAGGTGAAAGAGGAATGAGCATCATATAAAGTGCCGGCTCCTGTGGGCTAAGCTGGAATCCTGCCTATAGAGTCAGAAGCTCAGAAGTGGTCTGCTGTGGTTGGCAGAAGGTAAGGAAGACAGGCACTTGCATCTTCTCCCCGGCTCAGCCTTTTTGTGACCCGTGACCTAAGGGTGTTGGTCTTGGCACTAGATCACACCCACCGCCAGCCAGAACAATTAAACCATCAGCTTCATAGACCTCAAGTCTACGCCCTCACACATGTTGTGAATAATCGTGTGTTTTCTGCTACAACTGAGCTACAGGGTCAGAAAATGTTGAGCAAATACATCTTTTTCTTTGGAAACCATTTCACTGGGCTCATCTTAAATGAGGCTCTTATCAATTTCAGCTGTCCCTCCCTCTCTCCACCAAGGGAAGCTTTCTGCACCAGGCATCTAAACTTAACAGGGCCCTCGTGAGCTGAGTGAAGTATTCCATGAGGCCACAAGAGGGCAGCAAATAACATGAAACTCCTCAAAGCCTTAAAACAGTATAGGCCTCTAACATTGGCTTCTGTGTAGCCATCTAATCCTAAAGCAAGTCATTTATTGATGTCTGCCAGGCGTGCGACCCAGTGTAAGGTCAATATGCGAAGAATTAGAAGACAGAGTTCAGCCTGCCTCTGATTTGAGGTGCGCTTATATGTGTTTCCTTATTCAGAGTTAGTGATCACAGGTAACAGCCCAGGAGCAGGCTCTTGTTAACAGTTCCATATACAGTATAGGGAGAGGTAGCTCCGATGTTGCGGAAAAGACGCTTCCTCCTTAAAATGTGAATGCCAAGAGATTCTTTCATTTACCTCTTCCCAGCACAGCGCCGGGCACCTGGAAAGTATTCAGTAAATATGAGTCAATGAAGAGATACTGCACTGTCTAGAATGAACTCATCCCTAAAGGCAGACTGAACTTTTAAAACGTATTAGTAATTTGGGCTAATGCAGGAATATTTCATGTTTTTCAAGATATTTGTCTATTTCCATGTTAGCGTTGGAGTCAGGCATGTGTTAGTCACATAGTTTCCCAGGCAGAGACTCAGCTGCCACGGAGGCCTTGACCGTCCTGGGAGGAACTTTCTGCCCATGTGTTTTTCACTTGGCAACAGGTTCTCCGGTCACGTCAGGTTACTACGGTGTCAGAAGATCTTTCTTATCTGACTCAGACTTTCACAACAGTAAACAGTTTTCAAATGACGTCTACGCCTCCAGCGTGGGGAAGCCGTTTCCCTGTGAGTCCTCCGCAGGGCAGAGCCACGCGGCCCACCTGGAGCCCTACTTCTCCCCGGAGCCCTACGGGGACTACCGGCCTCCCGCGCTGACGCCCAACGCGGGCTCCCTGTTCGGCGCCTCGCCCCTGCCTCCGCTCCTGCCGCCGCCCTTCCCCGGAGACCCCCCTCACTTCGTATTTGTGAGTATGCAGGGACTTGACCTGGTGGGAGGGAGTAAAAGAAGGGCAGGGCTCACCATCCCATCTGGCCCAGCCCCTGTGCTTGGCATCCGGGTGGAAGCCAGGTCTGGCCCACCCTGGAGACCCCTGAGGCTGCTTTGCAGCTGCCTGGAGATGTCAGGACACCCTCCGAGGGAGCTTTGCTCAAGGATCCCTGTTAACCATGACAGCCAGGAGCGTCTGCGCAGGGCTTGGAACCGGGAGGACTGTACAGCAGGATTTATATCCATTTTGTTAATGCTCTACTGATATTCACCTGATGTTCCCCAGCCCTGCTAGTGCCAGTCATCATCATCCCAGCAGCCCATAAGGAAAGAGCATTGAAGCTGCACCTCAGACACGGCTAGGCAGATGGATCGTAATTATGAAATGGACTGTAATCTCCCAAGGAGGATACATAGGGCTCCTCTTTCTTTCCAAGTCCCCTGCCTCCCCTTCCCTACATTTTTAGCCTAAAAAACCTAGTTCTCTCTCAATCCTTCCAAACCGGTGAGTTCATAAATACCTGAAGAATGCTAATACTCCTAGAGAATCATAAAGGTTTCCACTATAAAAGAATGAATCTCTTAGGACAGGATTTTAGACAAAAAGGAGAGAATGAGAATTCACATTATTAAGTACCTACTCTATGCCAGGAAATGTGATGTGCCTTTGTTCATTCAATACTTACAACAACTCAGGATATATTTATGAATTCCCATTTTACAGACGAGCAAAGTCAGGCTCAGAGTCAGGAGTAGCCATGAAGAACCCTAGTCTTTCTAGTTCCAAACCTATGGGATTCCTATCTCTTTCCTCCGGCCTTACTGAGGGCACGAGTGGGCACCTGAGTCCACTCAAAAGCTCACTACGGAGTTGAAGGCCTACTCCTTCGAGGAGTGGGCCAAGTGCTGACCGTCCCCACTGTGTAAAGGGCATTCTAGGACCCAGACTAATGGGAGACTCAAAAAGAATGCAAGACAGAGCGCATTGTACACAGTAAAATGTTGCATAGATGTGCATTTTATTAGTCTCACATTTCACTCATTTTATGTTGTCTTCTGGGAAAAGGAGTCTCAATACCTATAGCAAGTCTAATTGTAGAGTAGGAAGGAAGGAAAACTTTCACTGCTGGTATCAAATGCTGGAGGGAAGAGCAGCCTGAGAACCAGGCTTCAGGCAGCAGAGAGAGGGGACCAAGGCTGCCCCGAAACCACAGTCTGGCAGCACACAATGTATCATCAGAGTGTCACCTACTGAATAATCCCAGTGGCCTTTCCATTCTCCTCAGAGGGACTCATGGGAGCAGACGGTGCCTGACAGTCTTAACCAGCCTGACCCTGTGTCCACCAATGCCCTGCAGACCTTGCCACCCAGCACGAGTTGCCTCTCCCAGCTCGAGTCCGGGAGCACCGCCCAGCACAGGGGCTCCAGCTGGGGGACCTCCCTGGCTGGGGCTCAGTCCTATTCGCTGCATGCTCTGGAAGATCTGCACCACACTCCGGGGTACCCCACCCCACCGCCTTACCCCATCACCCCTTTCATGACGGTTTCAAATGACCTACCGCCCAAGGTGGGGCCACTCTCCCCAAATGAGGAAGCAGACACCTGTTCCCTCCATGACCCTTCCCCTTGGGCAAAAGAAGATGGGAGCATCACCTGGGGGTCATATGAATGCCGCAGAGCTTATTAAGGGGAGGGCCAAAGGACTTCTGGGTTTTTCTTTAACTTGAGGCGCGTTCCCAAGATCGTTTTAGGTGTGTCAACTCATTCAGGACTGGATTTTCAGAATAAGCCACAATGCTGCCCTTTGTTAGTGGATGATGGCATTTATTTGCAATCCTCTCCACCACAGCCCCACTGAAATAAAACAGAATGTTAATTAAATGTACCACAGACGGTATTCTAGTAAGATAACCTTACAATGCGGTCTTTTGGGAACTGTTGTAACCCATTACATTCTGAATCTTCTGTTATCTTTGACATATCATTTTTGACACTGATTTTTTCTTAAATTGCATTAAAAAATTTATGCAGATCATAAAGATACTGATTTTCCTGTCAAATGTTTCTTAGTTATAAACTATGTGTATTCTTCAGTAAAAGACAATGGATAGGATATAATATAGATATGAGTACATAAAACAAAACTCATTTTATAGCATGTGACTTTAAAGACTGAAGTGTTTTAGATACATATATTTATGCCTTATTATAGTGACTTGTAAAAGCCCAGTAAAAAACATGGCACAAACTATAAATATGTTATTGTCCATAAAATAGGATGAGATCAGGAGACTATGGCTTTGTAAAAAACATAGTTTTGGCTCTATCCTAGAACCCAGGATGTCCTAAAATTAGTTAAATCCAAAAAAGGCCCAAAATTTTATTTGATCAATGATAGCCTTAATTAAACCAGACATTGTCTCTCTGATGGAATAAACCTACAGTTATTAGAGTGAATGAGTAAAACAGGCATTCTGTAATCAAATGGAAAGTTATGCTTTTTTTTTTTTTTTTTTTTTTTTTTTT